TAGCTTCCTTAAAGTTTCACTTCCTTAATTTATTGCCTTCCCTCTGAAATTATTCCCAGTTTATCCTGAATATATACATATTTTGTCAGTTCACAGGTATTTACATGTTGTTTCCCCTATCAGAAGAGGAGAGAAGTGGAAAGACTTGAGGCCACCAGGCTATTTAAAAAATTTAGGTGTGAGGTAACGAGGATCTGTACTAGAGAGGTAGCAATGTCAGAGGAAAGAAGGTATATTTGAGAGATGCTGAAAAGGCGTAATTGGCAGGCCTTGGCAACAGCTTGGAGTGGAGGAGGGGATCTGAAAGACAGTGAGGAATCCAGCGTGACCCCAAGGCTAAGAATCCTAGGGACTGGGAGGACAGTATTGACCTTCACAGTAATAGAGAAGGGGAAGGAGGGGGTATTTAGGCGTAAAGAATGAGTTCTAGGGGCAGCTAGGTGGCACAGTGGATAGAGCACCGGCCCTGAAGTCAGGAGGACCTGAGTTCAAATCTGACGTCAGACCGAACACTTTGACACTTACTAGCTGTGTGACTCTGGGCAAGTCACTTAACCCCAACTGCCTAAAAAGAAAACAAAAACAAGAATGAGTTCTATTTTGGACATACTGAGTTTAAGATGTTTACCTGGACATTCAGTTCAAAATGTCTGAAAGGTAACTGGAGATGCGAGAAGAATAACTGCAAAAACCCCTACTTATGTCTTTCCCCCTAATTCTTCCTCAATCCACAACAGATAATGCTTTGAAACATTAAATCTGTAAAACTATTTTGAACATGTCAGGGTTTTAAAGGCAACTGAGATAATGTTTAATTTATATTCATAGCATTTATCAATTAAATACTTATCCAGTTCCTACTCTGTACAAGGAAAGCATGGTGCTAAATCTGTAGAGGCAGCCAATGGCAAAGTGGATGCTATGCATGGAAACAGGAAACAGGAAGATCCAAGATCAAAATCTAGCTTTAGATATTTATGGGCATGTCATTCAAGGTTTTAGGGCGACTGTCATATCAAGGAAAAGCTCCTTTTGTTTTTTTTTTAAAAAGTGCATTTTATTGGAAATTTTTCACAATCCAAAAATTCCCCTAAAACACAGGTTAAGATCCCAGAACTGCTGTTTACATCACCTTGGAAAAGTCATTTTCCTTTACTGGCCTTCAATTTCCTCAAATACAAAATGAGTATTTTGAAAAAGATTATCTCTAAGGTCCCTTGTAGCTCTAAATCCAGCTTCAGACATTTATTACCTATTTAATCTTCAGGAAAAGGTGAATTGATTATTTGAAATTCAGCATCTTTCTTTTTGTAAATTACAGAAGCAAAAACAACACAGAAAAAAACCCTGTTTTTTATTTTGCCTCTGTGCTAAAATACCTAAACCTATAGTTAATAAAACAGTTCATCTAGAAAGTTTTACTAGTGTAATTATAATTGTTTTATGCAATATCAATTTAAAACTTTTACTCCAAATTAATACCTAAATCACTTTATGTTATATTAATCCTCTCACCTGAGATTCAAGTGACTAATATTTAATAGAGGAGAGGCTGAGGTAAGTCAGTTGCAAAACTGGAAAATGAAGTCACACTCTTTATTCTCAAAGGTGATGACACAACCTATAATCCAGCATAATTTAAAAAATGAAAGCTACATTTTCAAAAGATAATTAGCATTCCTTTAATGGTATTCAGTTACTTAATGCCAGAGGTCAAGATCCCAATAAGTGTGGGTCTAGTTTAATTTTTTTATTAAAATAAAACATTCAAGTTCCTAAAGCTTGTAATCTTTCTGTAAAGACCGTTACCTCCAAGTCATTATAAACAGTGAACTTAATGGAAAACAAATAAAAATAACACCTTCCACCTCTAAAGTCCTTGCCTATATTGCTTACTGTCTAGATCAGCCATGTGGCATTAATAACACTTATATTTCGAATTCAACATTTAAAGCAGCTATTAAGTGGTAGGCACTGAGCAAAATAAAATGTTTAGATGAAGCAGAGTTTCTGACTCATTCATGGGAGTTTCAATCTGTGGGAACGGGATGGAGATATATATATATACAAGGTACTGAAACAAAATCATAATGTTAATCATGTGACAGAAACAAACCAAATGTCAAGTGAAGTTCAAGGGAGGAAAAAACCATTACTGCCTAGTGCAAGGAATACAGGTAATAGGAGCAATTTATCCAAACTGAGTCTTAAAAGACAGGTAGGATTTCAACAAAAGGCAGGGTGAGGTAAAGAAAGACATTTCAGGCACATAAGTTGAGCGATTTGGAGGGAGAAGGTACCTCACAGGCAACCAGTCCAAAGCTATGTCTGGAAGTTTGAATGCAGGGCTAAAAAGAGTGTGAACTTTTTTTGGTAGGCAACAGGGAACCACTGAAGCTTACTGAGCAGAGTAAGTTATAGAGCTGAAAGGCCCTTAGGGATCACAGGATCACACATAAAGAGATGGACGTGACCAATCCAACCCTCTATTTTATAGAGGAGGCAACAGGCTCAAAATGGTTAACTCACTTGCCCGAGAACACACAGGTAATGTGTAAGAGGCAAGATTTAAACTCAGATCTTCTGACAGCAAACCAACTACTTTTTCTACTGTACCCAACTGCTGTTTATCTCTTTTAGATCACTGGTCCCCAAGTTTTTCCCATGAATCATCTCATTAGTAAAAAAGTTACTGGACACACTTCCTCCAAATTTTTACTTATTTATAAATTGTGTGTGTGTGTAGTACTACAATAATTACGTAAATTATAAAACTTACATACAAGTTTTAAAAGGATGAGATAAAATAAAAACTGCACTTTGAAAATAATATTTATTGGGGCAGCTAGGTGGCGCAGTGGATACAGCACCCGTCCTGGATTCAGGAAGTTGTGAGTTCAAATCCAAACTCAGACAGATAATACTCACTAGTGGTGTCACCATAGGCAAGTCACTTAACTCCACTGCCTAACCAAAAAAAAAAAAAGACAAAAAAAGGAAAAGAATATTTATTAATGGTACAAAATCTTTTTTGCTTTCTCTAAAAATACTGTCATGAGTAAATACATATTTTAGGGAAAGCATGGCCAGGACTCGTAATCACCTGTAGCCTACATTGTAAATGAACCTATCCAGAAGGGATCTAGAAGGTAAATGGGGGAGCAAACTGAGTACTGCCTCAAAAACTACTGATATGAGGGCCTGGATCACTTAAACCTGTGGCATAAGAGAAGTAAGGCCCTTGCAGAGCCATAGGAAGCCAAATATAGGAAGAGGTAGAGAAGTATTAGATGAAAATGGACTAAAGGCATGGTAAAGTTGCTTTGGAGACCACCCAGTGATTGGTTACCATGGGAGGCTGGGATAAAAATCATTCTCTCCCCTTAAATTGTTTGGAAAGGGACTGAGGGTTATTCAGCATACTCCCTAGAGATCATACTCAAAACCAGTGGAGGGCCTGGCCACCATTTTAGAGCAGTGATCTAGAACAGGGGTGGGATACCTGCCCTCTGGGGGCCACACGTTCCCTATCCATGATCTAGAATTTCATTTCACCCAAAGGAAGAAAACTGAGACCTAGAAACGTCATGTTATATTTGCCCAAGATCAACCAGGGCAGAAGTAGTACTTAAACTCAGTTCCTCTGTCATCATCATCTGCTAACGTTTATATTGCACTCTAAACATTTATAAAGCACTTTATTCTCAACCATCCTAAGAAATAGGTGATTACTTTCTCCATTTTACAGAGAAGGAACCTGGACCTCATAAAGATGAAATGATTATCCCATAATCATCCAGTTAGTAGAATATAATAAAAGTCAGAGCCAGGGTTCCTGACTCCAAATATATACTCTTTCTATTACTATCCTGAATAAACTACACCACAACTAACCTGACCAGATTTTTGCAAAAAGATTATCATAATGGAAATAAGAACAATCTTCTGGTGGGGGAACAGAGTAAAGCAATAGACCATTTTCACATAAATGATTTTATATGAACCTCACAAAGTTTGTGAGGTAAGCAAGGCAAACATTTATGTACTCGATTTAACAGATGAGGAACTTGAAGCTTATCGGGAGGAAGTTAACGTGCGCAATGTCACAGAGTTCATTAAGTACATAGCCGTCACTAAAACAAAAACAACCCAGATCTTCCGGCTCCAAGTACAGTGTGTTTCGCACTACACGAAGCTATTTCCCCAACCAGTAGTTGCACATAAGGATTGGTTCAATAAGTATTAAGTGAATGAATGGGTTTTTTACACATTTAGTTATCACTTCATCTCTCAGCGCTGTAGGCTAAGGTACCAATGAAATCACAGATATTGCCCCGATCCCTAAATTACTTACTAATAAAACTATTCCTAAAAGAATAATAATAACGTGTCCTGCACGAGAGTAGCAAATAATTTGCACAAGCTGGTCTATTATAATGGAGCAAGCCAAGGATGGCTTCCTTCATGTCCCTTTTTTTTCCTCTAATGACTTCTCGGGTCTTTTTCAAGCGGCGAGTGTAACACGGTGGAAAGACCTACAAAAGGGGAAACGGGCATGCCGGCGGAACTGGGAGTGCACGGCCTGGAAACCTGGGCTCATTTGCCCCGAACTGTCCGACAGCTGCAGCACGGCTCCGAGGGACACCGCGCTTCCTGTCCCGCGTCCCCGGGAGGCACGGAACCAAGGACCGGCCTCGGAGCCTGCGGGGCGCGGGGGAGCATCCGGTGCCCGAGTCACGGCAAGTCCCACCGTCGCAGCGTGACGACCCCTCCCCACGACTCAGGGCGCAGGCTCCCGAGGGAACTGGGGGCCAAGGGGGCCCGCGGCTACCGCGCCGCCCTCTCCGGGGGCCGGGGGCTCCAGCCTGGAAGATGGCGGCCAGGCTCCCAGGGGCCGAGGGTGGCTCGGAGCCCCGAAGCCGAGCGGAGCCCGAGTACCCGGGGCGTGGAGAGGCCCGGGCGGAAGCAAGCTCCTACCCTCCCCGGGAAGCGGCTCTCACCTGTCAGAGCCGCCGAGGGACCTCGCGCCGCTCCCGCCGCCGCCGTTCCCCGCTCACTACCAGCCACGGGCTCCTTCGCCACTAGCCCCGGCTGCTCCCAGCGACCGCAGCCCGCGCGAGCCGACCAGGCACGAAGAAGAGGCGGCGGGCGACGGTAGCTACCTGGTGCCTGAAGTAGCCAGACACGGGACGATCACTCCCCTCGGCTCCAACCCCTAGCTGCCTCACACTTCCGGCCGCGCCGGAAGCCCCGCCCATCCGTCTCCATCCTGTCACCATAGAGAAGGCAGTTGGCAGGGCGCCCCACGAGGCTCCCAGCTGCCCCCTGGATTTGCAGGAGCCTGGGGGTGGGAGGGAAGGGGAAACAAACAAAAAGCCGAGTGTGTGACTGACAAGCTGGTGGAAGGGGTGGCAGGGCCTGATGTGGCGCAGAGGATAACACCGAGACGGAGCTCAGCAGCCTTTCCCCTTCCACCCCGTGCGCCCGGCCCTTGAGCATCGGTGCCGGGCCGGACGCTTGAGGTTAGAGCCAAGAATCAAACAAAACCTCCGGGAAGAGCTCTTGTGCGGGGTGCCCCTGCAGATCTCTTCCCACCCGCTGGGCTGGAGTGAAATCATCTCTGCAGTGGCTCTGGGGGATCTCTGGCCCGTGCCGTCTTCATTTTACAAATTCCGGGAGATGATGGAAGGGAATAGGAAGGCTGAAGTCACCTGGTCAAGTTTAATTAACTCATGGCTGAGCGCCAATCAAAATACAATGCCTCTGGGCTCCGTTCCTCCCCCTTAACTCTCCCTCCTCAACCCTCACCCCCGCTCCTCAAATCCATCCCTGAATAATAAACTAAAAAGGCCTTTCTGGTCGAGTTAATCAATCAACATTTATTAAGCGTTTGCTATGTGCCAGAGACTGTGCTCAGCGCTGGTGATACAAAGAAAAGCAAAAAACTCGTCCTTGATCTCAAGGAACTCACATTCCACACTCCCTCCACCTTCCCCCCCCTTCAAAATAGCCAAGTTCTTAGATTTCTTAGCATTTGTTAAATCTTAAAACCCAGAATTGACCCACTTTGGAAGATACTCACTGCAGTGGCTGTTCAAGTGATGTTCCAAGATCAAGCAGGTTTCAAGTCCATCTGTCTAAAAAAATGACCACAATCCGTGAAGAACTGGATAGAGGGGAAAGGGGTGGGGGTGGGGGGGACTTAATATTCAGGTTCAGTTGTACATAGCTGTTTAATCAGTTTCTGAAGCTTTAAGATCCAAGCTGTTTTGAAGGGGCTTCTTTGCCATGAGCCTCTCCAATGATAGAGATGAGTAGGCGTGCTGTGTGATTTGGCTGCATTGAGGACTTATGGAGATAGAACTATTAATATTTCAGCTTATCTGCAGAAGATGACTCATCTAGTTTCCTTTCTGAAAGATTTGATCACCATTGGCTAGAAAGAAAAGGCAAAATCAGCTGTTCTTGGTGAAAGGTGGGACCTAAATTGCTGGGTTTTTTCCCCCGCGGATCTCTTTTAGATAGAATATGGAGTGACCTGACTGATGAGTTACACAACTAGCAGTCATCCTCAGCTACAAGTAAAATTCTAAGCCCTTAAGAATTACAAGTATTTTCCTTCTTTTATGAAGTATTTCTCTATGAGGGTCAAAATTCTCACTCTGTGTTGCAAAAGGTAAAGCTAAGGGCTTATACTTAAAAAGCAGATGTCATGAAATAGGTAAATGCTTTAGTTCGCTTCAGAGCTCTGGCAGAGACCTGGGTTCAGGGATTTACAGGAAATTGTACTTGGGAAGGTGATATAAACAAGAGCTTTTTTATGCTGCACCAAGCAGGCAAACAAAAGCATATACACTATCGCAATATAAACAAAGGTTTGTCCCAGCAGATGCAAGAAACTGACCCAGTGTGAAGAGAGAGCTGTGTGGAGAAGAAACAAGCTCAAAATTGGGGTTCAGGTGGTGAAATTATATATTCCAAGGATAGGCTTGCTTTGGAACAATTGTGAGAGGAGGCTTTCCTAATCAGACTCAGACTTGGTGGAGAAGTTCTCAGAGTGACTTACCTATACCAGGCCTGGGTGAGGCTCTAGTAAAGGAAGTTTATCAGGACCAAAACTGGGATCTAAATTAACTAAGGCAGCAAAAAGAGAATGATTCAAGACCCCTACAATAGGTCAAGAGTTTTATCTAATCAAAAACTGCACACTTTATCTGCCTGACACAGAGTTAACACAGATTATAACAGTGGAAAAGTACAAACTTTTTCTTTGCTTATGTGCTTTATGGGCATTAGGACTACCTAGCCTAAATGACTGTAGATTAGAGTGTTATTATAACCATAATATCAAAAAATACAAAATTTATATCACAACAAGAAAATCCAATTCCATAATTAAGACTTGACTTATATTCTGGGGACAAGGGATGGAATAATATATATTGCATAATGAGAATTGTTTAAATTATTTTTTTAATATTTTATTTTTCCCCAATTACATGTAAAAACAATTTTAACATTTTTTTTCAAATTTTGAGTAATTCTCTTCCTCCCTCCCCCCCCAAACACGAGGATTTTTTTAAAGAATAAAAAAATACAAAATATCACCAGACATAGTCCTATAATGATAGTCTGGAGATAAACTTTTGACTCTGCCACTAATTTCCTGCATGGCAGCTAGGTGGCACAGGGCCTGGAGCCAGGAAGACTCATCTTTCTGAGTTCAAATCTAGCAACAGACCCTGGGCAAATCATGTACATAACCCTGTTTGCCTCAGTTTCCTTATCTGTAAAATGATCTGGAGAAAGAAATGGCAAAACACTCCAGTATCTTTGCCAAAAAAATCTCCAAATAGGGTCATAAAAAGTCAGACATGACTCAACAATAATAATTACCTGTGTGCCTTTTGTACAAATTGCTTCACTTCTGTATATTTCAAACTTCTCGTCTTTAAAATAATGGCATTCATGGATTTCTAAGACCCCTTCTAATTTTAAAATATTTTGTTCCTACATTTCATTTTGCAACATAGACCAGGCATAATATTTCTATGTGGTTTTTAAAATAAATTTCATTTTGATAATTTTTGAGGACTTCGTAGTACTCACTCTAATCTGAAGATACTGAGAAATCATAAAGGGGCAGCTAGGTGGTGCAGTGGATAGAGCACTGGCTGTGAAATCAGGAGGACCTGAGTTCAAATGCATCCTCAGACCAAACACTTGACACTTACCTGTGTGACCCCAATTGCTTAAAAAGAAAAAAAAATCATAAGAAAGTGAAGTCACTGACTAATGTCCCAGAAATGCATGTTAAAGCTAGTATTTTAGCTAGGATTTTAGATCAGTACTAAGACTATGGTGACATTCCCAACCATAAAATAACAGACAATTGAACGTGTTTAACAATATTGTCATTTATCCCACTCAGTCTGTAAGATAGACTGAAAAAGGGTGATATGTTCAGTGAGGTAAATTAATTTCTGGTATAGAGTTCCCTGCCCTGCCATCAATTTTGGGTTAATCAATTCCTTTGGTTATATGCCCTCAACACTTAATTATTCAGTCTGCACTACATTTCATTTGTTGATATGTTGACTCATTAGTTTCTGCACAAAGAGCTATATCTAGAGATCAATATCTCTTGTAAATTAGATTGCTGTATATGTAATACGCCTGTGTATATCCCAAGTGATATTATAAATTCCACAAGGGCAGGGGCCATATTTTCTAATTCTTTATATAACAGAATCTACAAGAAGTCACCTTCCAATCCCAATGACTCTGGTATGACCAGATTGGTTCTATCCTATCATACCTTCATATACCTACCCACAGTGGGAAATAATGAGACCTGGATCATTGTTCTGTATGTCCGCCATTTAATTCAGCTTCTAAACCAACCTGGCCTATTCAACTCTGATATAAATCTTCAAAGTGACTGAAAACTGACCCATTCTTCCCAGTAGTTAGTTTAGTCCCTGGAGAACCTACTAATGAAGCAAAAGCTCAAAGACTGGTTGTAAAAAAAAAAACTAAGTGAATCATTCTAACTCACTTCCCCTTAAAAGGTTTCCATTCCTCCACACACCCTCAATTACTGTATTTCAGGGAAGGAATAAGTGAATTTGTGAGTGATATTAGATTGCCTTAAGAGAGACACAGTGTTGCAGATTAGGCAAAAAGTATACCGTGCCCTAGTCAGACCAAATCTGAAGTATTGTGTTCTGTAGGAGGCACTACAACTTGGGAAAGACAGTGATATACTGGAGAATTATCAGAAGAGGGCAACTAGAGTGGTTAAAGACTTCAAATTACGCCACATGAAGATCCATTAAAAGGACTAGAGATGCTTATCCTAAAAACAGAAGAGTACATTAAGTTGTTTTCAGATATATAAAGGGCTATCATATGAAAGAAGAAATAAATTTGTATGGATGACTTAAGAACAGAGAACTAAGAAAATCGGGTGAAAACAGAGAGCTAGATACAGGCTTGATAGAAGGGAAAACTTTCTAACAATTAGAGTCATCTTAAAAGTGAATGGGCTGCCTTAGGAGGTAGTGGGTTCCACCTCGCTTGAGAACTTAGCTAAAGGCTAGATGACCAAGGCTTGTTAGAACAAGAATTCTTAATCTGGGGTGCATCAAGCCCCAGGGTACAGGGCTAGATTTCAGGGAGTCCATGAACTTTAAAAAGGGGTGGGAGGGAATCACATCTTTATTTTCACTACTCTCTACCTAAGATTGTGCATTTCCTTCAATTATGAATGTAGACAACAAACCACAGTCATATTAACAGTACCTATGATTTTATTGTCACTAAAAATCACAGATATATCTATGTCGCATTGCAGTTGTTGCAGATATCAAAATTTCCTGCTAATTAATATTTCAAAATTATTATAATTAGATGCATTGCTAGATCACATGTGATCGTAGTCTTCCTGCCCACAGACAACTGACCATCTGCCATAACTGGCCAACTACTAAGGTTTATAGATTTCTCCAGATTGCTAAATCAGCAGACTCTCTCTCTCTCTCTCTCTCTCTCTCTCTCTCTCTCTCTCTCTCTCTCACACACACACACACACACACACAACACACACACACACACACACACACACTCTCTCAAAGTTTTGTTTTGGTTTAAAAAAAATAAAACCTTGCAACAAAGGAAATTCTTGTTGAGATGTTACTATAAAGTTCCTCTGATCTCTTCCAAATAGGAGAGGCTATGCTTGTGTGCTATCCATGGTACTGAATTAAACCTGGACAACTAAAGTAAAACTAGACTGATACAGAGCTTTTAATGCAAACAATGAATCCCATGAAGTATTTAAATTATTCAAATTCATACCATTTAAAGTTATAATTATATGTAAAATATGATAATTGGTTACAGTCCAATTGAGATTTTCAATGAAGAATTTAAAAATGAGTTTTTATCCATTTATTAACATAATATGATTTTATCATTTTATTAACATAACAGCAAAGGATAAGAAAAGTATTTCTGATTCAAATTTATTACAAAGTAAAGGGTAGGTATAGAAAGTAAAATTTTAAAATTACTGAACATTTTACCTAAAGATACTCAATTTTCAAGTGATCAAACAAACTAATGCTTGCAGTAAACATTTATTCACTACCCATTTCATTTCTATTTTCTTTCAGTCTTAAGTAAACATGAAGTTTTTGTCTGAGTGGCTGCTCTAAGAGCAACATACTTTTTGTTAAAATCTTTAATCCATACAGCTAAAAGATGTTCTATTTCTATCACTGTAACACATCATTCCTTATAATTGTTTTCAGACCACAAAAAAAAAGCTGATGCAAGGGTCAGGTAGGTGGCGCGGTGGATAGAG